GTCTGTTGTTGCTGCCGTAGCACAGACGTACACAGCAGCTCAGGCACATGTTCTCTCTAATAACAAGTGTGCACTGAGGGCCTCTTAAGTCCCAGGCTCTGCAGTAACAGTGCATCAACGTGGGAAATGGATGGGGACGCATTTCTTCCTCCAGCAGTCAGGCAAAAGAGCATCATCTCCTGTGGAGAGAGTTGCTTACCTGTGCTTTTCCCCTGCCCACCCTCCACCCACACTCTCTTCCAGCTGTGAACTTTGGAATGCCGAGATTTGGTCAACTTTAGACCCTCCTGTACCACCTAGCACAGTACTCTTCCCATAGTTTAAGGACTCAGTACATGATTATTGGTCTGAAGGACTATTTTCTAGACTGTTTTTAAAAATAACAAGGTGTACTGGTAGACTAACAAGCAAGGTGTTTTTCCTCATAATGTCTCTCTGGTTACATTTAACAGCAAGTTAAAATTAGATCTTTTTCTTTTTTTTTTTTTAAAGAAAGAAAACCATAGCAACGTGATGCTGAATGTTTCAGAGAGCACGTTTTTAAGGATTCTCTTATTCTGAATTGCCCAGGTTTAAGCTGCCTATTTCAAAGAAAAGTTAATAAATAATTTGTTTTACTAATAGCCATGTAAACCACTGATTGAGTCTAAGAAGCTATAGAAACTCCCACGTAGACCTGAAAGCCTGATCAAATGCTTGAAGGGAAAAAACATAAATGCTGAAAACACACTAAATAAATTTGAAACGGTTGTCTGATGGAAATGATAGAACATGAAACCTCTCTTTGTTTCTTGTATCTGTGTTTATTATAAGACCCTGGAGACTGTTCTAATGTTTCATATCAATATTTGTTGGAGATCATTTTGTAAGTCATGTTGATATGAGGAAATAAGTTTTACTGTGCCTGTCTGAATTAAAGAAAGGGCATTTTACAGAATGTCACCAGCAAATACCTCCTGGATGTTCGTGATGGTCGTCTAATAGCTTTCTCTAAGGGTATTTGTATTCAATCAAAGACTACAGTGCAGCTGAGGGCCTTAGGAATACTGACTAATGCCCTGTTAATCAACTTCACTACTAAAAAAAAAAGTGAAGAGGTTGATAGTTTAAATCCAGTTCTTGTATGACTCACTTGAACAATCAAAGAAGAAAATGTACTTCACCCAGGACCAATTTAAAACAAAACAAAACAAAATCCATCAAAAGCTCTCAGAAGCAACTCTTTCAAAATTTTGGCCATACATTTAGAAAAAAAAAAAATCCAACTCGAGCTGGTCTTGGAGGTGCAAACCTGTAATCCCAGGAGACTCAGGCGGGAGTGTTGTAAATCTATGGCCTGCCTGGGCTACAGAGGGAATTGAAGACCAGCGTGGGCAACTTAATGAATCTCTGTCTCAATTTTAAAAAATTAAAAATACAAAGAAAACTGGGAATGTAGCTCAGGTTAGGAGCCATTTGTCTCACATACACTGATTCATTCCCCAAGACTGAAAACAAAAATTCCAACTAGCTTGTCTAACATAGCCTTTGTTTTACAGCATTTATATTGACTTACATTTATTGAATATCTAGATGCAAAGCACTGAGCTAATGCCTGGCTATGTAAAGCACATTTCTGCTTTTAGAGAGCTTATTAGAAGAAATAAGTCATTCAAGCATAACTGTGGTTTACTCTGAGAAGTTAAGAGATGGGCAGTTCCTATCTAGGTTGGGGCAGGTAAATGTGGTAAGACAGGAAAATGGAAAAACTTTAGTGGATAGACTGAAAATGAGCATCTTTTGGAATTGACAGCAACTTCAGCTTGAGTTGAAGGGGTGGTAAGTAAGGGCAGCACATTGGTTGGACTGGGTAGTGAACGGCCTTGAGTTCCACACCACTGAACTGGAATTTCCATAACTGGCAGTTCCATGACTCTTGTGTCAGGTGCCACAGCTTTTGTAAAGTATACCCTCACGTCTAATGTTGAAGTCATGTAATCTGCAGCCAACACTGTAAAAATTGGCTAGGTTTGGCCCTGCATTTTCAGACTTCCCATTTAATAACATGCTTTGACATTTAGGGTTATTCTCGATTTGAGAAGGAGGAGGAGGATTTAAATTCTTATTCCTTGGATAAGTTTGGGATCATTGATCTTTCAGATATCTAAAAGTTAAATGTTTATCTGTTTAATCCCTCTGAGTGGCCTATGAACACCATGTCTACTCTCTGCCTCTCTAATTTTAATGCTTGTGTAAATCTACAGGAAAGTTACAAATGTCGGGTTCTCTAGAAAGGTTTAAGGGTTGATGCTGAGGCGCTCCAAAGCCTTTTTTTTTTTTTTTTTTTTAAAAAGAACAAACCCTTCTAACAGAGAGAAAGGTACATACAGGAGGAGGGAAAGCTGGGAGGACTGGGGAGGGAAGAACTTGGAGACAAACAGGCAAAGTAAGGAAATTCTTCTTCAGAAGAAATAGTTACAGAAGGGATTTTGCATTTACGTGTGTTGAAGATATGGGAAGTAAACGTGGACAGGACAGGTAACGCTGCTGAGCATGCCCAGAATGCCACATATTCACCAACTCCAGAATATCCGATGGGCTTGAAGTAGACAGCTAAGATACCCGGGAGTTACCGTGAGGTTCCAGAACAGCTCATCTGCCCACAGTTAACGCTCATATTTATGTAGTATATTGTGATCGTGAAACATAACGGCGGGAATTTTGAGCCTTACCCAGATTTCAAGAGCTGCATCTCTGATACTGAAAGAATCTTACCGAAATAGACACCTGTGTGGGAAAGCCAGCCGCCAGGGGTCGTAACTGAAGGGCTGAAACTATTTTCACTCACCCCAAATCTTTACGTGGTACAAGAACAAGCACAGGAGCAGAGGACGCCCTGCACTGTTTGTCATCTGAAAGACAATAGATGTTGGAACCCAGCGAAGATGCCGAGACAGTGAGAAGAGGCAGTGCCTCGCTCCAGGTTGTGGTGGTAGATATAGGATTCAGAGCAGGCAACGGCTCTCCCTTAATAATGAACACAGCAGAAAATGGCAAAGATTTTAATCTTTCAAAAATATAAGTCTGTCAGGAGGAGTCCTTAGGAAAATAGGATTCTTGCATTTAACTTTTGTAAATTAATATGCAAGATACCTACTACTGCAATCATTGGAATTTGATCTGTGTGTGTGTGTGTGTGTGTGTGTGTGTGTGTGTGTGTGTGTGGTGAATGTGTGCATGTGTGTACAGTGTATGCATGCCTGTGTGCGAGGTGGGCACACTCGTGTATGTATGCATGTGAGGAGTTCAAAGGGGGATGTCAGGTGTCTTCCTCTATCACTCTTCCCCTTCCTTTCTGTGACAAGTTCTTGCTGAACCCAAACTGTTCTAGCGAGGCTGTTCCAGCGAGGCTGGCAGCTGGAAATTTCCTTGGATCTGCCTGGATCTGCCCTCCAACAATAGTTACTGGCATGCACAGCCATGCCTGGCTTTTACATGAGTGTTGGGGATTTGAACACAGTTTCTTCTGTTTTCATAGCAAATGTTCTTACCCATTGAGATGAAGTTTGATCATGAGATAATTTAGACACCTGCTAGCCACTTTAATGTGTTCTAGTACAACTTAAACCTTTATTGATAACATCTACATAATAAGGATAGAGAAAGAGAAAGGTTTAATACCAGTGGTTAAAGCAGAGTTTTACTTTATCTATTATTTTCCTTAAGGATCAGCCAGGTATCAGCTCAGGGTGTTTCAAAGGTCCCCTGTAGTCAATCTCCTATCCCTCAAATAGGCAGATGACAACAATAGCTATTAGCAGAATACAGCCTTGAGAAGTTCCTGAAGTCATTTTGTTGCATGGGGATGCTGTCCTCCCACAAGAAGCACAGATGTCCACATCTATCTCACTGTTGTTTTACTATGACACTCAGCTGTATTGTGGTATTTTATGGTCTTTTTGTGGTCTGATGTAAGTGTACTCTAAACTACACAAAGCACAGCATGGCATGGAGCTAGGAATTAGTGAGCACCCATCCTAGGGAGAAAATAGTGAACCAAATGGTATGATCTGCTAAAACCAGCACCAGCTCCCTGGAGAAGCAGCTCAGCCTCCCTGTCCCTTTGTTTCTTTGTAAACTACGAAAACAAATTGTGCCTAAGACATATTATAATCAAGTCAGTGAATCAAGTGAGATAGGAAACAATCATATCTAATAACTATCAGCTTTTAGGACATTTTATATTTTACAACAAATCTAGAAGCAGTTAGTATGAAGAAATCTTTGAATCCAAAGATTGTTCCACATTTTTAAGCATTAGCACTTCAGGAAACTATTTCATGTCATAGCCCACATTAATGCTGCTACAGAAACAGAGCTCAGTCAACCACAGGTGAACACGTGGCCCCAGATCACTTCAAGTTCAAGGTCATGCTCTTCTGCGCTGAAATCCATTCTTAACAATCATCGTCTTTAAAGATGCCTAAACTTAAAAGTTCTCATTATTAATAGAAAAAACAAAAGAAACATTGCACTCACCACATTTCTGGAAGCTGTTCACAGGAAGCAGCTGTGGTTTCTTTAGGCATCCCAGTCTATCAGGCAGGTTAGCAGTAGACTTCTTAATGAGGTCTGGACCACCTGCCTTTCTGAGGACATTATTATAGAGATGGAATTTTTCAGTTTTTGGACTTTCTGTCTTCTACAGCTGTGTGTGAGATCTTCCTATTCAATGACTTTGGGCTTCTCATAAAAATGTCTAGTCACTGTTGCTCAGCTGTAAATTATTTTTTAAAACAATATCTAGATGTGTTTTCAGTGAGTTCTTATCTTGGTGAGTTTTGCAATTGAAATATACATTGACCCAGTAAAACAGTGAGTGCATGACATAAATGTTGTATTTTAAGTGATAAATATGAATGAAGCAATGTTTGAAATGCAATTGGCTATAGACTAAACCACTACTTTCAAAATAACTGTCTTCCATCTTCTGACCCCTGCAGGAGTCCGGAGGTAGACCAATGAATTCAGGAAAGAGTAGGAATTTGGAGAATACAGTCAAGAGAGTCTGTCGTGATCTGCTTGTTCCAAAGATAAACAGAAGCAAGAAAATGTCCACCTTAGCAAATTCACCCAACAGCCTGAAGGTGCCAGCTGACATTAAGAAAAGCAGTGGTGATGAACAAACGAAAATCACCATGGAGAGAGTAAAACTGGCGAAGAGCATCAAAGACAAACAAAGCAATGATTTAGAGAAAGTGGCCCTTAAACGGAAGGTAGGAGATGGAGCAAAGCTAGTCAGAAAGAAAGAGGCAAAAACAATGGAACTGGACAGTCAGATAGTGACCACCATGCCTCTGTCTCACATCCCTTTAAAGAACGTAATGGATGTGGAAATGAAGCTGGTCTACGTTGATGAGGAGGACGTGAGCTATGAGTTTGCACAGCCCTTTACATGCCCTGGGTTTCGGCCAACAGGTCAAGCTGCTGCAATTGTACCCCCTGCATGTGACTTCACTGTCCTGCCCCAGATTGACAAATGGCTTCAGGTAGCCTTAAAGGATGCCAGCACTCGCTACAGGCAAAAGAAATATGCTGTGGCCGCAGGACAGTTCAGAACAGCACTTGAGGTATGATATATTAAAGAAAATGTAGATTGGTGACAGGAAGCTAAGAAAAATGAAGTGTATAGTTATGCTGAGTGGTCACAGTGCAATGAACGGTAGTCATGGGGTGGAAATATTTAATGTTAGAATTATGAAGCTCTAAATGTACATAAAACAAATAAGATGTGCCTGCATGTTAATATACCCATTTCCATTTAACATACTCTTTGTTTGCCAAGCTCAAAGTGAAGGCAACATATATACAAGTGTGGTTGGCTTTGTAACTTAGGTGTATATCTATAAAAGCCAGGAAGTTTTAGTGCAATGGTAGTACGTGAAATAGAGAGTCTCTAGAAATAGGTGTTCCAGTGTCTGTGAATCATGAATAGACCTTTACTTTTCAGCATGGGCCCATACTCTGAACATGATACTTATTACACACAACACCACTTGCTTTGACATGACCTTCACTTCAAATATCCTTCTTCCCATTCCAGTGAACTTCATAACTAGTTATTTTGCCATCTGCAAGCAGGTGCAGTTTAGTACCACCTTGGCATTAAGAAACAGCCCATGGACTGAAATAAACCTATGAATCACTGTTACACAGAGAATAAGTCATGAGAAACAGTACTCAGTCTCATGACTCACTAAGCCTGTGGAGGAATCAAATCATGAGCCTAGAAGTCCCAATGGCCCCCAACAACTAGTAGCTATGTATTTCATTAATTACAAAAACACAGCTCACTGTGTTGTGTCATGCCTGCTGGGCCTAGAGACTCGGGAAGAGGTGTGAAAGTATGACTCCCACTCTCCACTCATCTTGAGGGATTCAGTACAGTAAACATTGATGTAAATAAGGTATCAAGGAACACTTGACCCTCCATGGAGGTCAGACAGAAGTCCAGAGTCCAATGTAAGATGTTGGAGTATAGATTTTAAAAGTAAACTATTATTTCTGTTGTTATCTGCAGGTTAAAATGACTCAATCTGTACTAAATTATTAATGGGAAATAACAAACAACATTTTCCCCTAAATATTTGGAAAGGAATTTAGCACAAAAAAAAGATCCCCAAATAGACATGAAGTGACTAGGTGTCACAAAAACAGATGCATCTATAAATAATTCTGCTTTCGTAAAGGGTCAGGCACACACAGATGAGAAACGTAATGTGCTATGTAAAGCTTAAGAATGTTACTTCTACACGGTGGTATTGTAGTTACTCAGTGCCGGCAAACCTTTGCTACCTACCAGCCTCTGAGAGAGTCCATCTCTACCTTGAGCTGTTTCAGCAGCCAGCCTTACATCCTCTTAAGACAGGATGTTAAAGGTCGACTACAAGTAGACTCCTGAGCGTTTCTCCAAGGACCATCATTGGCTGGCATTTAATCCAGGGCAGAGGGTTGAAGATATATATAT